ATGTATACCAAAGCTATACCAAATATACTTTCCGTTTTTATTTTAAGTGGAAACGAGGGAAAGGTATATTGCCTTGGCATGTTGCAATCGCATGCTGCTATGCGATTTTGGCCTATCGATTGTCACGTTTGTTTTGCCCACTTTCTAGCCACTGTCGCAAGGTCAGTGACACGGGCTGTCCATGCGGGTTATTGTGTCAAAACCTACGTCACAAACAGGTGCAAGTGCGACGGGGGAGACACAATAAATAGATCAAAATGCCCTAAATATTAGGTCCCCTTGTAGACGTATGACTTAAGGATTATTGGGCGAATTGTGAAGTTTGATGAAGATATTCCGAAAAATAGATAATTTTTGCATACATGAAATTTACCTTGTGGCCGATCTGATAAATCAATAGGCTAGGTGCTTGTGCTTACAAGAAGTTGTTCTTACCAGAACTTAATCTTCGATCAATCAATCGATACAGCTTTCTATACAGATCCTTAATATATTAATGCCTTATTAGCCGGCGGCGTTTTCGTACATAGCGACAAAAATATAATTGAAAATAAAATAGTTAAAGCTAATCAAACGAGTCGATGCACCTGCTGCATGTCACAATCAATCAATCAATCAATCATGTGCGCAGCTTCGATTGATTAATCAATCGAACACTTGTCGAATAAACAAATAGGCAAGCCAAATGCCAAAAGACTCAATTAAATGCGCCGCAAAACAACAAAATTGTATAAACAAATGTATTGTTGAGGGAGGTGGTGAGGGGCGGGATAATGCTTGAGGGCATCCCAACCACGCCCCTCGTCTATAGGCGTTCCCTGCGTATTTCAGATGCGCTGCAAATGATCCATTCGCACCGCGCGCTCATCAGCCACTCGTTACTCATGCGCCACGCCCCTACCCACCGCCCCCCCGCCGCTTGACGCCCTTGTTAGCAGGCAGTAAAAATAAAAAACATAAATAAATAAATTTAAAAAATGAAAACATTTTTCGTCTGCTCAAAATCACTTTACTGGCAAAAATCAACAGCAATCAATCGGCAATGCTTGAAAATGAAAACGAAAATGAAAATGCATTAAAATAATTTTTGGCATTTCACGAAAACGTTTCGCAGAGCCAGACCAAATTCCCCACCCTTCGCCACATCCCGCCCCCTACGGTGTGGCCACGCCCCCAGACTTTTTGGCACTGGATTTTTTGAAACAAATAAAGAGGCACATTAAAAACGATATTGTCGACAATTGACGAAAACAAGGCAACAGCGCATCGTATCCATGAGATACTTATCTGTATCTGTGTCTGCATCTGTATCTGTATCTGTATCTGTATCTGTATCTGTATCTGTATCTGTATCTGTATCTGTATCTGTATCTGTATCTGTATCTGTATCTGTATCTGTATCTGTATCTGTATCTGTATCTGTATCTGTATCTGTATCTGTATCTGTATCTGTATCTGTATCTGTATCTGTATCTGTATCTGTATCTGTATCTGTATCTGTATCTGTATCTGTATCTGTATCTGTATCTGTATCTGTATCTGTATCTGTATCTGTATCTGTATCTGTATCTGTATCTGTATCTGTATCTGTATCTGTATCTGTATCTGTATCTGTATCTGTATCTGTATCTGTATCTGTATCTGTATCTGTATCTGTATCTGTATCTGTATCTGTATCTGTATCTGTATCTGTATCTGTATCTGTATCTGTATCTGTATCTGTATCTGTATCTGTATCTGTATCTGTATCTGTATCTGTATCTGTATCTGTATCTGTATCTGTATCTGTATCTGTATCTGTATCTGTATCTGTATCTGTATCTGTATCTGTATCTGTATCTGTATCTGTATCTGTATCTGTATCTGTATCTGTATCTGTATCTGTATCTGTATCTGTATCTGTATCTGTATCTGTATCTGTATCTGTATCTGTATCTGTATCTGTATCTGTATCTGTATCTGTATCTGTATCTGTATCTGTATCTGTATCTGTATCTGTATCTGTATCTGTATCTGTATCTGTATCTGTATCTGTATCTGTATCTGTATCTGTATCTGTATCTGTATCTGTATCTGTATCTGTATCTGTATCTGTATCTGTATCTGTATCTGTATCTGTATCTGTATCTGTATCTGTATCTGTATCTGTATCTGTATCTGTATCTGTATCTGTATCTGTATCTGTATCTGTATCTGTATCTGTATCTGTATCTGTATCTGTATCTGTATCTGTATCTGTATCTGTATCTGTATCTGTATCTGTATCTGTATCTGTATCTGTATCTGTATCTGTATCTGTATCTGTATCTGTATCTGTATCTGTATCTGTATCTGTATCTGTATCTGTATCTGTATCTGTATCTGTATCTGTATCTGTATCTGTATCTGTATCTGTATCTGTATCTGTATCTGTATCTGTATCTGTATCTGTATCTGTATCTGTATCTGTATCTGTATCTGTATCTGTATCTGTATCTGTATCTGTATCTGTATCTGTATCTGTATCTGTATCTGTATCTGTATCTGTAATCTGTATCTGTATCTGTATCTGTATCTGTATCTGTATCTGTATCTGTATCTGTATCTGTATCTGTATCTGTATCTGTATCTGTATCTGTATCTGTATCTGTATCTGTATCTGTATCTGTATCTGTATCTGTATCTGTATCTGTATCTGTATCTCGTATCTGTATCTGTATCTGTATCTGTATCTGTATCTGTATCTGTATCTGTATCTGATCTGTATCTGTATCTGTACTGTATCTGTATCTGTATCTGTCTCTGTATCTGTCTCTGTATCTGTATCTGTATTCTGTATCTGTATCTGATATCTTTATCTGTATCTGTATCTTATCGTATCTGTATCTGTATCTGAATCTGTATATGTATCTGTATCTGTATCTTGTATCTGTACCGTATCTGTATCTGTAATCTGTATCTGTATCTGTAATCTGGATCTGTATCTGTAATCTGTATCTGTATTGTATTCTGTAGTCTATCTGTATCTGTATCTGTATCTGTATCTGTATCCGTATCTGTATCTGATCTATCTGTATATGTATCTTTATCTGTATCTGTCTCTGTACTTGTATCTGTATCTGTATCTGTATCTGTATCGTATCTGTATCTGTATCTGTATCTGTATCTGTATCTGTATCTGTATCTGTAGCTGACCACCATAAGAAAAAGTATCTAAGCATCATTTTAACAGCTGAGTAGCCAATTTAAGCAATACGCTCGCAGCTCTCGAGTGGAAATCGAAAAGAAAAGTGAGTGAAGGTCACACAGTGCGCTCTGTTCTTCTTCTAACACCACTTGTTGTTGTTGTGGATGCCATAAAACGCATTAATATCTAAGTATTACACGCTGAAAGATTTAGCTGAAACAACTCAATTCTCTTGCTGACTAAAGCCCCCATACTTCACGTGCTCTCTGTCTCTCTCTCTTTCGCAGCGTCATTATTAACCTCATAATAAGCATTCCGTTTCTTCTTCTTGTTCATTTTGGGACTGCTGACGTTTGCACCCAAAACAGATACCATAATTTAGCCACATACTATGGAAAATAAATAGTGCAGAAATTTTGCAATTTTGCTATTTTGCAATTTCTGTAATTGCATTTTGCGTCATTTGTTCCGCGAGATCGTCTTGGCAAAAGGTCCTCGCCCCTCCCCTGCTCTCCATTCGCACGAAAATTCCTAACAAGTTCCTATCCGCATCGTTAGCAACTTTTGTATATTACCTGTAAAAGAAAAACAGGAGGCGGAAAGTGCTCAACTTGATTATACCGTAAGCCGGAACATGCTGAATTTCTTCTATATAGACACAAACATGCACACACTTGCCCGGGATGTCTTATTTCACTCCGCTTCTTACTCTGGCAAATGCATTCTTCAGGACGTTACATACGTTTTCACACAGCTGATATACCCACTTGTTGCTAACTTTTAAAGAGTTTTGAATATAGAATCAAGCAACTTTTTGCATAAGCAGATGTTGCGCCAAACTTTACTCATTTTCGACATTTATTCGAGTTCAACTACTTTGTGTAATCGATAGTTTAGCAATTTGAATTTAATAAATGTCTCAAACAAGAAATACTTATTAAATAGCTTAAATAAACTACATACTTTGCTAAGTTCTTGTAAGTTCCGATTGTTGGGCTTTTATGGACTACCGTTTGCCAAAACCAGTTGGGAATTACATTGCAAATATGTTGAGAAACGGTTGATATATTTTATTATTAAAAATTATGAAATGTTGTTTCTATGTGACTTCTGACACGCCTGTTGAGCTAATAATCCTTAAAGCATTTAAATGTTTTGTCTGAGTCGAGGGATTTAAAGATCTTAGTAAATTTGGAATCTTTTAATCCGTCGACGACTTAATGTTGCAAGTGAATATTTGCATTAATATAATATGCGTAGCCAGCATTGTATTTATGTGGAGCATATCGAGCAAAAGAGGGCAAAATAGAAACAAAAATAGAACGAGAGAGAAAAAACTCAGAGAGAGACAAAGCGGGACCGTGAGGGAGAGCGGGAAAGAAAGCAAAGTCAAGCAATTCAAAGATAAACTTTATAGTAGAGCCATCGCAACCATATAATATGAAACTATTAACAAGTTCCACATGAATTCATGAGAATCGCATAGAAGAACGCTATTTTAAAATCAAATTCTCAGTTGTAAACGTCTCCCTTTCTTTGAAAGCTCTTTTAAAATAAGTCTGAAGCCAATTTAATAATAAACAAATCCTTCTCCTACCAAATTTTCTCTCTCGAGGGTAGCCCAAGCATTATTAATAACATTAGACAAACGCAGTGAAAACTGCACCCTCCTAACTTATACGGACTCGACAATGCCTTGAAAGCCAGTCAATCAGTCAAGCAATCAGACAGAAAAGACAGTTCTTGTGTACAGATAGCATATATATGACAAGCTGGGGGTCTAATCAGAGTCCACAACCACTAAAAATAGATCAGAAAGCATTGCCCACAAGAATTATGCTGTTCACTTAAAAATTGGTTTATTCTTTTATATATTTCACTTTAAATTGTATGGTCAAGTTGCGACAAGGCCGAGGCCTTTAGCCCCAATGCAGCTGTACTGCAATTCGAGACAGGTGGACAAGGCTGGTCGCAATCTGTTTTCGTTGCCCGCCTTCGTTTGTGCGTGCTGGCAATTCGCGAAAAGCTAACTCAATGGGCATTCACTTGTTTATTAAAGATTAGCTTCGACAACCAATTTGACTACTTAACAAGTTTTGATCGGAACTGGGTAACCCTTGGCATGTCCGCTATCTCTGAGACATCCATTTTGAGGCATGCGCTTTTAACGTTTAGAATTAACAGATGGGAAAAATTTCATTTTTTTTTTGGATAGTTTTCCAAGATATTTTCATCATGCTGTCGACAAGGATATTAAGGCGTCGGCGTGCCGCAAATTTCCAAATAAAAATAAAAGCAAAACATTGCAAGAGTATTTCCATATTACAAAAATTTCCTGCAAATCTTTTGAATTTTCCTGATCTCTTCTCGATCGCACAAACATGGCCCGCATAAACGCGCTGCAGAGCACTTTTGGCTGGTTTCTCAGGCCGTTGGTCGTTGACGTTGGCTGCTGCAAAACAATTTGCGTGAAACACGAAAAATTAAACAAAAAGAAAACACTTTGCTCACACACACATACACACACACACACACAGAGCAATATGCGCTGGATTTGCTCAAAAACGTCGCCGTCTTCTGCTCTGCCTGCCAGTTCCGTACCCGTTCGCAGTCGCAGTCGCCGTCGCCGTCGCAGTCGACGTCGCAGTTGCCGTCGCTGTCCCAGCAGCCGCTGCCGTCGCTGCCGCTGCCACTGCCGATCTTCAGTAACGCGCACGCCGGTGAACGCCTCGCACTTGCCCCACACACAATCGCAAATCGTCAGCAGTTTTTCCAGTGTGTTTTCTTCGTCGATTTTCGTAATTCTTTTCGGCCCATTTTTCCCGTTATTTTTAATTATATTTAAGTATTTTTTTTGGTTTTTTTTTGTGTTTCCGTGCCTTGTATGCTGTGCGTGCCCCGAAAGAGAAGAGAATTAAAAAAAAAAACAAATAAGCGTTTCGTTGGGCAGTTTTGTTAAAACCAAACAGGCGGCAATTAAGCCCAGAAAGCAAATGATGTGAAAAGTGTCGCCAATGACGTCGCAGAGCAGCCAGCTGCCGCAGCCCCCAACACACAACACATCCCCCACCCCCGCTCCACCCATCCCCTGGGCCACAAGTTCTTTACACACACCTCACGAAAAACTCAGCCTGTGCACGGTGTCGTCTTCGGCCACTCGCACACAGATTCGTTGTCGTATGGAATTCGTGTTGTTGTTGATGTTGTTGTTGTTGTTCGAGTTATTGTTGTTGTTGTCGCATTTGAATATGTGAAAAATGTGTGCGACAAATGTTGCCGCCGCCGGCCCGCTGCCCCCGTGTCAGCGGCTCGTGAAAAGCAAAATAAAAATGTGAAGAGAATCGAAAAAAAATGAAGATGACAAAAATGAGAAAAGAAAAGAAAATTGTTTCGTTTCGTTTCGTTTCATTTCTTTTGTCATTTGAATTTGAATATAAATAAATATATATAGCAGCGTGTCTGTCTATATGTCTGCTCCATAAATATGCGCAGCCCACTAGACACAGCAACAACAACAACAACAACAACAACAACAACAACAACAACAACAACGAGATCAACAACGAGAGCAACAAACACAACAACAACGAAGACAGCAATAACCATATTACGTATACGTAACATATTAAATGTATTTATGTACAGCTCACTGTGCGTGCGTGCATGTGTGTGTGTGTGTGTGTTTGTCACCAATAGATCTGTATATATATATATAAATATACATACATATGTATATATACGCAAATCGAGTAACCCACGACTTATGCCCCATTCGCTGCACCCTGTATATATAGGCTCATATATGCATCTATATGTATATATACATATATATTTATACCTGCATCTATATATATATATATATGTATGTACCTGTGTGCGTGTATGTGTGCAGATTTGACCCAGTGCTAGCCGAGCGGAACCCAGAGGAGTAAGTTAATGGATCGCCTGCATGGCCCACATCACGACGACGCACGGCACCTTAAGCCAAGCGCCAAGGTAAGCAGCAAACAAATGTTGCACAGTGCCACGCCCAACGCCCAACACCCCCACGCAAGCAAAGCCCGCCTCGGCGAGTTGTTATTAAATTCTTTACTGCTGCTGCTGCTGCTGCTGCTGCTGCTGATTCCTCTTCAACCGCTTTTTAGCCACTCCAACTATTGCCTCTGCTGCCGTTTAGTGCATTAAAAAGAAAAAATAAATAAATAAATAAATGTTCATTTTATTATTTTCTAAATATTTACTTAGGATCGTCGAATTCCACATTTACGATCTAGCCCCAGCATATGCAAGATCTTTTGATACACTTGCAGAGAGTCTATCGACCTGCTTACGCAATGTGTTGCATATAGCTTAAGGTATATATAATTGATATATATTCTTGATTCCAACTTCGTTCGTCTCTCAGTTGTACATGGTAAAGTTCTTGTGGGAACAAGTTCTCTGTTATTTAAGTTAGCTTGATGAAACTTGGCATTTACTTTTACATATATATATTTGGAAAATCTTATCTTGTAGATGGAAAATCCTATTAGCTTTGCAAAATCAATATCATCTAGCTCTTTTGGCATAATCGCCCGAAAAGTTAATTCTTATATTGAATACCTTTGCTTCTACTCAGCATATTCCAGCCCAGCTCAACAAAGACGATATTCACCCTACTTCCGAAGCCCGTATCGGTCTGCTTTATCGTATGTATCCTATAGGCCAAATTGTGTATTCTGTTAAAGTATTTCATCTTCGGTTTGCCGCACATTGTCATTATTTCTTCTTGTTCTTTTGTGTTTTCTTTTCTTTTTTGCACTCTCCACATTTTCAATAATTTTCATTTGATTTCACATTTTAATTATTGCTTGTTTAATGCTTTTATCGTTTAATTATCGTATTAAAACTGTTTACTAAAGTTAACAGCTGTCTGGAACTGAAAGAAGCCGTTAGATTATCTACTTGTTTTTGCCCCAAACATTTAATTGCCATTGCGTTTATTACGCATACGTCATGTGGCTCGATCGCCCAATTTCATAACAGTTCGTTGGAAATATTCAAAAATCTATAAAAATATCAATAAAAATATAAAATTCAACAACAACAACAACAACAATAAACCCCAAAAAAACATAATTTATGAGCTTGTAAACACTTGGCAAAAGTATTTTGTTTAAAGCACTTGAGATTATGTTCGAAAAGAAAAAACTTTGCCGCGGTTGAGTTTCGTCCAAAATTGGCTGAGATTGACTGAGGCTAAATTGAATTCGATTGGGTTAGGTTAGGTTGGGAGGGTCAGGGAATTACGCCGCGTGGGCTTAAGTTAAATCTGATTAGATGCGATTGATTTGCACAAGACTAACTAAGGTTATGAGGGGTTAGGTCGCGTTAGGTTGGGTTAAATTTCATTAGATCATATATATTTCGACTAGGTTAACTTGGGCTGGGCCATTTAAGGTCAGATTGGCTTAAGTTAATACGGATTAGGGCACGGGCTTAAACCTGCTCTTTCCTGTTACCTCTCAAAGTTTCGGGGAAAATGTTTACTTGATATTAAATATGTCGCTTTAAAAGCTCTTTAATGGTTAAAAATGTAAATATTTTCTATCAGCTTGGCCTTGAGAGCCGAGCATCTCAATTCAATTTCCCAGGCATTTTTTGCCAATGGACATTTTTAAGTTCTGCTATAAATCAGGAAAAGCTCTTCAATGGAAAGCTCTTCAGTTGAAAATACCTCAAATGAACTTCGATGCGGAGCTCGAGGTGTCGCATAAGCGGAACCCTTATAGCATGATGATAAGCAGCACATTTGCCGCAATTTTCTGTTGCATGCAGCGTTGCATGCCTCATGCCGCACGTTTCACACAGGTGAAGACGCCTTAATTTTTGCTGCTTTCTTTTGTGCCAATTGTTGCACCAAGTCCAAATATGATAAGCAATGACCTGTGTGCAATAATCTGTGTGTGTGTGCGTGTGTGTGCGAGTGTGTGTGTGTGTGCGTGTGTGTGTTGTGTGTGTTTGGCTCACAGTTATGTTTCGCCACTTGTCACAATCGATTGCCACTCGCAGCCAATTAACGCTGCCTCCGCATAAGGCTAGTTGTGCATTCTTGCTGCTCAGCTGGGCTTTTGTTTTGGGGGCTGGTTAGGGGCGCGGGGGCGTGGTGGGCTGGTGCATATTGCGGCCGATTATTAGGCACCAGACAGTGGCCAAGTGTTCGGCCTTGAGGGCAGCTTAGAAAAAAAAGCTAACAAGCGCGCGTGCTTGTCGCTCGAGTTAAAGCCTCAAAGAGAGCCCCTGGACTAGAACTGAACCCCCTTGGCTATACTCTTGTTAGAGGGTATAATAGTTCTGTCACAACATGTGTAGCGACTAAAAGACGTCATGTTTGCCTGATCTGCATGAACAGTTGACTCGACTCATATAGCCAGATGTGTCTGTCTCCCAGCTCTCAGGTGGTTTCAGCCAGATCGGGTTTTTATATCATATGGGATGCCAGGGGCATGTTCATTGGATACATATTTCAGATTTGGCTACTTACATATTAGAAAAGTCTTACGGACTTATTGGTGTATTCATATCTATAGCTCTCTAGGCAGAATTCCTCAATTGGCTCCTTTCATTTCTCTAAAAGAATATCAACATTTGCGAGCCTTTGTTTATTTTCACCTATCTTCTAGCCCGTATCAAATCGGTTAAATATATATCTATATCTATATCTTAAGCACTGTATTTTATCTGCGGTGTGTCACACTAAGCTTTGTTCTTGTTGCTTTGTTTGGCTTTTGCTGCTCACGCACTTGGTCAGCTGTGCAGTCATATTTCTTGAGATTACGCATTCGCCCTCTCTGCCGCTTTCTCTCTCCCTACGCCTCTCTTTCACTTTGTCACTCTCTCGTATCGCCTGCTGGCTCTCCTTAGCCGCCTTGGTCCCTCCCACTTCCGGTAAAGACAAGACTTGACAATTGAATTAGAAAACGCAAAAAACATTGCCACCGATCGTTGGGTCGCTGAGCCAACTGACGCTCCCGGCTGCCCCAAGCCCCAAGCCGCTAACTGTTAGCCTCTGCCCCGGCACAAAATCAAAGCCGCAGTCGCAGTCGGACCCGGACTTGCTGCCGTCTTTTGCCACACTTTAAAGTGACGCGCGCGTCCGTTCACATCGACTGCTGTTGTTGTAATCGCAGTGCGGGGCACAGAGAGAAACTACAAAACTGGTGTCGGGAATAATGCATGCGGCGCCTACGGTGCGTTCGCCAGCAGAGATGCGTCACAAGAAGAAGAGGTAGCCCAGCAGCCAGTTCCGAAACCAGTTCCAAATTCAGCCAGAAAAGGATGTGTGCGAAAGCAGTTACAATGTCACATAGAAAAGAATGAGTGCGAGCAGCGCGAGAGACAAAACTCGATTGTTTTTTTTTTTTTGTTTATTTTGTTTATTGTTAAATGTTGTCTTGTTGTCTTTAAATTTTTTGCATGTGTGTTGCTTTGTGTGTGATCAACCCATCGATCGGGCAAGCAGGCAAAAGCAGTTTGTCATGCAGGATAACTACAAAATGATGTAAATATATCGATAAATTATTTAGCTTAAACGAAAACTCAACTACCGAAAGTGCTGTTCGAACTAGTTAGCTGGCAATAGTAGAGTTAATAATCAAAATCTTCAGAAAAAATTCCAAAAGCCTGAAAACTATCGATAGTAAGATTAATATTCGATTGGTAAATCAATCGATAAGTTAATTTATCGATAGGTGAATGCGAACGATTCTAAATAAGGCCCGTACGAACTAGGTTCGTAATAATAATAAAAATTAAACATAATAATATAATATTCAAAAAATAATAATCATTTTATA